CTTGACCATAAAACTATATTATATAGAGAGTTTTCAATGGTCTAGATAGTTTTTGTTTGTTCTTTAATACGATAGAAGCAGCAGCAGCTGCCGCATAAGCCAACATTATTTGTTACCTCCCTTTGACATCATTTTTTTCGCTACATCACATGGCCAAGTTGTTAGAACGTTTGCATTCTGACGATGAGTCCCGGGTTCGAATCTCACCATCGTTGATTTGCCAGGAAGGAGACTTCCTAATGTTATCGGACTGGAAAGGTCGATTCCAGTGTGCGGCACTGAAAACCATAAGCGTAGACGGAACTCTCACAAGTCATCGTGGCCGAGCGCTGGTCTTGTTGAAATTGTTAATCACGCTAGGTAACTAAGTTCTGCTCAGCATTACACACCACAATGGGTTCTGTGGTTGTTGAATAACACTAAAGCGCAAGCGTCTGCAAGGGGGATTGGCTAGCCGCGCTAGTAGACGGGTATCCTCGAATGCGAGTGACCAGTTATACATATTACATCAAAAAGTCAGTTTACAAACCAGTAACAAACTTTTACCAAACAATTTTGCTATTAATTTGAATATTTACTATTCAGGTGGAAAGTGGGCGATGACGACAAAAAGGTTGGGAACCCCTGATGTACAGAGTGCGAAGTATATATTGTCGTCTAAATGACTCAAAAATGAAAGTAACACTGACATCTTATTTATTAGATATATTTACCAAAATTACACAAAAATATCTCTAAGTAAATTTATACAATAAAATCGCTAACCACGGCCTCCAAACGACTTTGGAAACTCCTGCAACTCTTCTAGACGGTCTCCTTGTTTAAGTTGGTGAATGCTGCCATAAGCTGCTCGGTCCGGAGGCTAGGATCAAAGTGTAGTACGCTGCCTTTGTGAGCTTCCGAGTCGGCGTCTGTCGAACTCTCTGCATTAGCAGAGAGGAACCCGGACGAAGCTTTGCCGAAGGGCGAGGTTTCGTTCGGGGAGGTAGACAGGGCCTGAATCCGTCAAGGCGGGTTCAAAAAGGCTATATTTTTGGCCGAGCCTACGGGCTCGGTGATACCCACATTAAACCGGCTTTGTGCCACATTCTATCCTCGTGGGTGGATCGATAAATACTATACTATGCTACCATAATCTTTGCCTTCAGTTCATCTTTGATGTTCTAAAGAGTTTTGTTGTTCTCTCTTTCATCTGCCCCCCACAATAATCAAGCGGGGTCGCAGTCTGGGGAGCTAGATGGGCAGATGTAAAGGGTGATGTGGTTGCAGAAATTGTCTGACATCTATCACTGGGTTCTCCTGCTTGTGTAGCATGGTGCAGAGTCCTGTTGCCAGACATGGGGTCTTCCAGCAGCCAACCTCTTGACCCAGGGAAGCACCAGCTCGTTAACGCACTTCATGTAGGCCTCCGTGTTCAGTCTGATGTTCTATGGAAGAAGAATGGAGGTATAACGTCTCTATCTCTAGTGATCACTCCAAACACCTTCGTAATCATCATTAGACTCATCCAACCTTTTCGAATCCTCTGCACTGTCCTCAAATTGACACCTGAAATGTTTGCCCAGGGCGAATGCCAAACAGTACAGCATGCCATATCCAAATTTCTGGCAGAGTGAACTGCGCTATAGTGTTCTTTTCCTCACAGGTGGTGACCAACCTTACTATGCTGTGCACTCGACAAAATAAAGAACAAACAACGCGCATGCGCGAAAAAACGTCGACAATTTACTCATCGGACCCAACACTCCAAACACCTTCGTAATCATCATTAGACTCATCCAACTCTTTCGGAATCCTCTGCACTGTCCTCAAATTGACACTCTGAAATGTTTGCACGGGAGCTTCCAGGGCGAATGCCAAACAGTACAGCATGCCATATCCAAATTTCTGGCAGAGTGAACTGCGCTATAGTGTTCTTTTCCTCACAGGTGGTGACCAACTGACCTTACTATGCTGTGCACTCGACAAAATAAAGAACAAACAACGCGCATGCGCGAAAAAACGTCGACAATTTACTCATCGGACCCTGTATGTTGTCTCCAAGAAACTAAAATCAAAGAACTTGATATTAATATTGGAATTACATGGTTGCTTGATTGACTCATTTTTATGGCTTATCAACCGCTTGCAGGTTATTTAAAGCCAGAAAATATTTTCAGATTGTAAGAATGTGGGGTGGGGAAATAATAATGATTTAGCGATATTAGTCTTACTAATTACCGCGCAGCTGAGGGTGGAGAGAAAGAAGAGGTGGATCCATGCCTTTTCCAAGTGTATCTGCGCGTAATTGAATATAACGAACCCAATAAGAACTCGAACTTGGCTCGTCGATTAACAATTCCGAGCCATTGTTCATTACACCACCCGCACATCCCATTTTACATCACTTGGTATTCCCAAGCGGTCTAAGTATTGACCAGATTCGACGGAAGTCATACGGGTACCGTTGTTTTAACGTGATGTGGCAGTGGGCCTACATTATCTATTTCAACCAATTGTTGATTTCCCACACTACTTTAAACAAAAGGTTAGGAAGGAAAGATCGATAACAAGTTACCGGACAGGAGAAAGTTATTTTCCTGAGGAAAAAAAAAAAACCTTTAATAGAAAGATTTCAAACGAAAGTAGCACTGGCAGCTCTGTCAATGAATACCGAATGTTTCCTTATAAGGAAACAGCAATTATAACGTTTGTGCGGAAATTAATGCAACAGACTAGTTTGAAATTTGAACTCAGCAAGCAAATTGCATTTTCTGCACTGAACTTAAATTGAGTGATCGTACTGGAAATTGTTTTTTAACGTGGTGTGGAAACATCGGAGTTTATAGCTTTGGAATCGTTAAATATTTAAGCTTAACAATTTTAACAAAATATTTGAGCTTAACAACTTTAACAAAATATTGCAATGACAATCATAAATATGAATGCTGGTCGTTATTTTAAGAAGTGGATACAAATGAAAATATTTAAAATTGACAACATTTCCATTTCACTGACCCACCCGTTAAAGAATTATATATTCTTTTCTTTCATTTCCTCACTGAAAACAAGTAGTGTCCTTTCTCCTCTTTCCACATGATCAAAAAGGAATAGTCCATTATTTGTAAGGTATTTAGAACTTTGGGAACACACATTAAATATTATTAGGAGTTCGATAGCGAAAAGACAGACAGGGACTACGACTTTATATATATAGATATATATTAGATTATATTATTATATATAAATTATATTTTATATTATATATATATATATATATATATATATATATATATATATATATATATATATATATATATATATATATTATTATTATTATTATGATTATCATTACGTCAGCTAGATGTTTTCCGTAAAAGCTGTCTGCGTGCAATCTGTGGAGTTAAACTTCAAGATAGGACATCTAACGTAGACCTGTTTAGTAGGTGTAATATTGGAGGAATCGAGACTTTTATCATACAGTCTCAGTTACGGTGGACTGGTCATGTCTTGAGAATGCCTGATGACAGGATACCCAAGATCCTAATGTGCAGCCAGTTAAATCAGGGCTAGAGGAATGTAGGACGCCCATGGCTAAGATACAAAGGCAAGCTGGAAAGCAACTTGTCAGCAGTTAATATACCACATAACACCCTTGAGCGCTTAGCTTTGGAGCGGGTAGAAAGGACTTGTGTTTTTGTGGACTCAGCAGTTTTCAATCTGCTTGTCTGAATCATCTTCAAGAAGCGAGAGCAAGATCTAAAAGGTCAGCCAATCTAAAAGTGATCTCATCTCACGATCCTCACACTTGCTCCATATGTGGCCTCCTTCGTAAATCACTAGCGGGTCTTAAATTCCACTTAAGATTATCGCATAATCTTTCATAACTGAATCAATAAGCTGGCAGATCCTCATACGTCGAAACCGACGGGAGAGTCCATTATACATATATATATATATATATATATATATATATATATATATATATATATATATATATATGTCCTCCTAATAATTTCTATCATTTGTATATCATTGCTTGAACCGGCTTCTAATGCTCTAGAGTGAGCGGCTTGGTGATAGTTGTAGTGGCTCCAGGGTGGGGGCACAGTACTATGGTTAGAAAGAATCTCAGTTGAGTTCCACTACGGAATATGTGAGCGTGGCACTATATTGAGTCTGATTTGCAATCTTTTCGTCACTGAGGCCCGTTGGAACGGTTGGTATGTCGTTTGCTTGATAACCTGACTGTCCGGGTTTCAATTCTCGGTAGTGGATGCGCACTGCTGACGCGATTCCCAATTATACGGCTCTCCTGCATTCTATTGATGTTTCATTCAGACTCGATTAATTATTTTATATATATCCTAGCGGGTTGTCCGTTTCATAATGTGTGATGTCATAGGGTGGGTGAAAAGTAAGTAGGCATTAGAAATTGGTAAAAAAAACATATTTCTATTTATTGAAACAAATGATACACGTTCCTTATTAACAGGAGAAAAAGAAAACAAATCTTCACATTTGATCTACCGAATATATATAAAACACATTTTTATGTTTATGCATTCTTTTTTTATAGATACAAATATTTCAGTAATTGCTCTGTTTATAATAAACGGTATTAATAACATTTACCGGCCTGAATGTTCGAGAAATTTTCATAGAAAATATTCGTCATCCTGCCGGTAAATGTTATTAATACTGTTTATTATAAACAGAGCATTTACAATTACTGAAATATTTGTATCTATAAAAAAGAATGCATAAACATAAAATGAATATATATATATATATATATATATATATATATATATATATATATATATATATATATATATATATATATACACACACACACACACACACATATATATATATATATAACAACTTTAACAAAATATTGCAATAATAATCATAAATATGAAGTGAAGGCTGGTCGTTATTTTTTAAGAAGAGGATACAAATAAAAAGATTGGAAATTAACAATTTTTTTTCATTTCCCTAAACCAGATGTTAAATACATGAGAACATTACTGCCTCCTCTTCTTTCTTTCTTTTTATACATTATAGTTATTCTTTCTTATTTTCTTTCTTTCTTTCTCTTCTTTCTTTCTTTCTTATTTTCTTTCATTCTTTCTTTCTTTCTTGTTTTCTTTCTTTCTTTCTTATCCATTATAGTCTTTCTTTCTTTTTTCTTATACATTATTGTCTTTCTTTCTTTCTTTCTTTTTATACATTATTGTCTTTCTTTTTTCTTTCTTTTTTATACATTATAGTCTCTCTTTCTTTCTTTCTTTATTTCTTATAATCATCCTTTCTTTCGTTCATTCTTTCTTTCTTATACATTATTGTCTTTCTTTTTTCTTTCTTTTTATACATTATAGTCTTTCTTTCTTTCTTTTTTCTTTCGTTCTTTCTTTCTTTCTTTATTTCTTATAGTCTTTCTTTCTTTCGTTCTTTCTTTCTTATACATTATTGTCTTTCTTTTTTCTTTCTTTTTATACATTATAGTCTTTCTTTCTTTCTTTTTTCTTTCGTTCTTTCTTTCTTTCTTTATTTCTTATAGTCTTTCTTTCTTTGGTTCTTTCTTTCTTATACATTATTGTCTTTCTTTTTTTTTTCTTTTTATACATTATAGTCTTTCTTTCTTTTTTCTTTCTTTCTTTCGTTCTTTCTTTCTTTCTTTCTTTATTTCTTATAGTCTTTCTTTCTTTCGTTCTTTCTTTCTTATACATTATTGTCTTTCTTTTTTCTTTCTTTTTATACATTATAGTCTTTCTTTCTTTTTTCTTTCTTTCTTTCGTTCTTTCTTTCTTTATTTATTTCTTATAGTCTTTCTTTCTTTCGTTCTTTCTTTCTCATACATTATTGTCTTTCTTTTTTCTTTCTTTTTATACATTATAGTCTTTCTTTCTTTCTTTTTTCTTTCGTTCTTTCTTTCTTTCTTTATTTCTTATAGTCTTTCTTTCTTTTCTTTTCTTTTTTTTTTTTTTTCTTTTTATTATAGTCTTTCTTTCTTTTTTTTCTTTTTTCTTTTCTTTCTTTTTCTTTTATTTTTATAGTCTTTTTCTTTTTTCTTTCTTTCTTTTTTATACATTATTGTCTTTCTTTCTTTTCTTTTTTTCTTTTTTCTTTTACATTTTTTCTTTTCTTTTGTCTTTTTACACATTATTGTCTTTCTTCCTTTCCTTCTTATACATTATTGTCTTTCTTTCTTTCTTTCTTTCTTTTTTCTCATACATTACTACCTTCTTTTCTTTCTTATACATTATTGTCTTTCTTTCATTCATTCTTTCTTTCTTCCTTTTTCAATATATCATCGTCTTTCTCTCTTATTTTTCTTTCTTTCGTGTACATTATCGTCTTTAACGAAATACGGCAATAACAATCATCAATATGAATGCTGGTCGTTATTTTTAAGAAGTAAGAGGATACAAATAAAAAGATTTCAAAGTGACAACTTTTTCTATTTCACTGAAACAGACGTTAAACCATGAGAGTCTTTCTTTCCGTTTGTCTTTCTCTCCATCTTTTTCTCACTGAAACCAAGTTTGCTTCTCTGGTATGTCATTTTCGTGTTTTCAAGCGTTCAAAACAGAATTGGCCATTACTTATTAGGTACTGGCAGTGCGTAACGGTCGTGCGAACTAACTAACTAACGAAAGGACCAGCAAATTATAATAGAGATTATTACTCGCATATTACACAATATTAGATTAAACGCAATAATAAATTACTAAGGATTTTACGATCGCATTGCAAACTGATATCACACAAAAGGCGTTTCCATTCAAGTAATAGTAGCCAAGAGTTAATAATTTATCCAAATTTTAGTGTTTACCATGCAAAAATTTTCAAAGACTAAGGTTATTAAAAACAAACAAGTAAAACAGAAATCGTCTGCTTAGGGAGATACATATTTATACGTATCGAACCCTCCTATTTGTGCACTTAGTTTCATTTTTTTAGGCAATGTTTTTCAAAATAATAATTATATCTTTTATTATATAGACTTGTTTCTTCTTCGCATTTATTTCAAAAGACGTAACGGTGGCAAACCGGCATGTACCATTTATTTATTTACCATCAAGTCATTAACACAATTTTCCAGCTATTCAGATTACATTTTACAATGACGCGCCCACATAGCCTCTTCCCCTACCCTACAACATCCGAGTTATTTGTTTATAAAAAAGTTATAATGTAGTGCTGTGAATTGTGTATATATATATATATATTGTGCTACTCTTTTTTATAATGTGGTTATAATGTATTATTTATTATTCTTACTATACATAATAGTTAAAATACAAAATTATAACATTAATTACATTATTTGGACTATTGTCCTTATCGTTGTGGCTATATTTATTACAACGTTTCAGCCGTTGTACGCTCCGGCCTTCTTCAGGTAGTTGGAATGTCGAACTTAACCATTTATTTCGCTCACTGGGTTAGACTGTTCTAGTTCCATGTGCCATGTTCAATGGATGTCAGTTATCAGTTATCTCCTGTTAATTTCCTTCTAAAAGTTCTCCACTGCCTTAACCGGGTATTGAAATCAAACTCTTTGGGTCCTGTCAATGGATCTAACTAACGCCTTTATTCACTGTGCCATGTGTCCTTGAGGACTCCTCTTGTATCCGCCTATCCCAGTTTTTGGGAGCTGCTTTCATGTACCCAGGGTAGTTGTTACATTGTAGGGTACTACTTATACTGACCAATTCTCTATCTAATGTCTCTGGGTCGCCACTTATGACTTTTGCTCGGTGTTGTAAGCAGCGGACGATCTCTTTCATTACGTTGTATGGATGGTTGTAGTTGTAATTTAGGTACTGTCAGGCGAATGTTGGTTTACGGTATACGAATGACTTGAACCCATGCCCTGTTCGAGATATTAGAACATCCAGGAATGGAACAGTGTTGTTACTCTCTTTCTCCATTGTGAACTGTATCGAAGGTCTTATTGAGGTCACATGGTCCAGTATTCAAGGTACTATTAAGTTGGTTTGGGGTACTACGTATTAATTTGTATCCCGAGTACAAACATACATACATAAAAGATTAGAGTTGTAGTATTATATAGATTTTACTAATTTCAACGCAATTGATATATATATATATATATATATATATATTTCTTTAAACGTTATTTTTAGAGGATACCCATATTTGACTAGACGTTGCGTTTATTTATTAAACTGTATATTTATTTATTTTCGTCTACCGGCCTGAATGTTTGAGAAATCTTATTAGAGAAAAATATGTGCTCTCCAGAGATTTTTAGTTATTTTTAGTGGTTACTCGTGTTTGAGTAGACGCCCTGTTTTATTTATTAATCATTTATATTTGTCTATCGGCCTGAATGTTTTCGAACAAAGTAATAGAATTTTTATTAATACGACAGATTTATTATCACTTAAAACGCGATTTTTAAGTCTGTTCGTATTTGAACAGACGCTTCGTTTATTTATTAAACACTCTATTTATCTAGAGTTTATGAAGGCTCGCCTCGGTCATATACACGTAGCCATTGATTCGCTCGAGAATTGGCTTCAGTCTAGAAGGCCCTACGTCAACAGATGTCTTATCACCCTTGCTTTCGTCGCATAAATAATTATAGAATCCAGTCTATCTTCTTGCGCTAGTTGGCCATTAACTATGGAAGAGGTTTCTGCCCCTTGACAGGTCTATGTCTTAATCCTTCACACATGAAAAGCATGGTGGGAGAAGCGGTTTAGTTGTTAATAACGCGACCATATGGTATGTAGTAATGTTATATGGTATCAGTAACCTGACATAATTTGCATGGGGAATATTAAATTCGTTTGAAAGAGATGAGAAGTAACTTAGTCGAATTAGGTTTAAAAAATAGGCTGAGGTCTTAGATTTTTGTCCACGAATTCGAAATACTTTTTTTACGATGTTGAATTTTATAAAACTGGAATTTTATCGTTCGCTTTGTATTGGCTCATTTTTCCTGATTAAATTTCTGCAACAAAGGAAAAGAAAACAAGTAAAACGTTTGCATGAATGTGACTTTCGGTATTCGGGTTTAGATCACTTAGGTTTTAAAATCATTTTTGCAATAAATGTTCCCAGTAAAATCATTTCCAATTTCCATAAAAAATATTTCCAATGCACTTTTTCAATATTAAAATCATTTCCAATTCATTTTTCCTAATAAAAATCATTTCTAATGAATTTTCAATAATAAAAATCATTTTCCATTACATTTTGCCTAATAAAAATCATTTCTACATTTTCCTTTATAAAAATCATTTTCCTAATTTAAAATCATTTCCAATGCATTTTCCTAATAATAAAATCATTTTTCTAATGCATTTTCATAATAAAATCATTTCCAATACATTTTCTAATGCTTTTCGTTAAAAATCATTTCCATTACATTTTCCTAATAAAATCATTTCCAATGCATTTTCCTTTCTTAATAAAAATCATTTCTAATGCATTTTCCTAATAAAATCATTTCCATTACATTTTTCCTAATAAAAATCATATTCCAATATTCATTTTCCTGACTGCATTTTTCCTTTTGTCATCCAACCGCTTAAAAAATCATTTCTAATGCATTTTCCTAATAAAAATCATTTCCAATGCATTTTCATAATAAAATCATTTCTTAAAAAAAAATACACCTGCTTTTCTCATTAGTATTTTCATAATAAAAATCATTTCTAATGCCTTTCCAATTTTTCATAATAAAAATCATTTTTACCAATACATTTTCCTAATAAAAAAATCTCTCATTTCCATTACATTTTTCCTAATAAAATCATTTCTAATGCATTTCTTAAAATAAAAAAAATCATTTCTAATGCATTTTCATAATAAAAACTTATTTCCAATGCATTTTCAAAATCATTTCCAATACATTTTCCTAATAAAATCATTTCCAATTCCAATAAAAATCATTTCCAATTTTTCCTAATAAAAATCATTTCCAATGCATTTTCAGATTAAAATCATTTCCAATGCATTTTCCAGTAAAAATCATTTCAATGCACTTTCTTAAAAATCATTAATAAAAATCATTTCTAATGCAATAAAATCATTTCCATTATTTTCTTCATTTCCATTTTTTCCTAATAAAAATCATTTCCAATGCATTTTTCTAAAAATAATAAAATCATTTCTAATGCATTTTCTAAAAAATCATTTCCAATGCATTTTCTAATAAATCATTTCAATGCATTTTCTAATAAAAAAATCATTTCAATGCAATGCATTTAATAAAATGCAATTTCCTAAAAAAATCATTTCTAATGCATTTTAATGATAAAAATCATTGACATTGTTTTGTAAATATAAAGGAATTCTAAAACCTAAAAATTCTTTTGCCGATAAAATGAAATTCATTTTCAAACACAAATTTTCCTAATTATTAACCTAAAAAAAATGTTAATTTTTAATAATAAAAATTTCCAATGCATTTCTAATAAAAATCATTTCTTGGGTAAACTTTATTGTTTTAATACAAAAATCATGCAAATACCAAACTTTATTTTTTTTGCAATACCGATTCATTTTTCAAATCGCACTTGTTTTCAAGGTTGCAAAAAATAATTAATTTTGAATAAAATCTTAATGTTCCTAATAAAAATCATTTCTAATGCATTTTAATAATAAAATCATTTCAATGCAAAAAAAAATCATTTCCAATGTAGCAGGAATAAAAATTCAAAATGTCCCCCCATTTTTTAATAAAAATCATTTCAATGGATAAAAATCATTGCTCAATGTTCATTTTCAAACACAAAATATTATTAACCTAAAACATAATTGTTGGGTAAGATGTATGCAAAATCAAACTTTATTGTTTTGCAATACCAGGCCGCATTTTTTAGGGTCGATTCTATGGTTTCAAGGTTGCAGAAAATAATTAATAGGTCGCTCAAGTATCGGGTCCCCTTTTTTATACAAGTGGACTCGCCCAGTGTGTACTTGTACTGCTGCTGGTGAATAACCGGGAGTGAAGAGAATGAGAGTGTGAGGTAACCGCTTGTAGGAGTCACAGTTGCGAGCACGTAGACTCAGAAGGAAGTCATACTACGATACTAAATTTCCCAGACTGTATATATATTATTATTACTACTAACTGCATTTCTGGATCTACTAACCGTATTACCAATTGTATTATTACGTCAATACATTTATTTGCTATATTTCATTTCTGCGTTTGTCATTCATTTGAGACCAGATTTCATCTCGGAATCCACAACAAATTGGCGATGAGAGATTCGAACTCACACGGGAAGAACAAACAACAAAAACTTTTCCCTCGTCGTCCACAAATTGCCGACGAACGATTCGAACTCACACGAGAAGAAGAAATAGAAAAATCCTCCCCTCGTCCACAAAATATTGACGACAAAGAGTTACGAGGATTGAAAATACGTAAAATTGAGTTATCATGGAAGATTTTAAAAATATTTTGGTAGAACTGGTAAAATACCAAAATGATCAACAATTCCAACTACAAGAAAGAATGGAAGAAAAATGGCAAAAGCAATTACTACAAACGCAGAAGGAAAATCAAAAAAGATAAATAGAACTCCAGGAACTAATATTGAAAGTAGCGGGTAACAAGCAATTAGATATTGAAAAAGAAGCAACTTTTTCGCAAGAAGCAGTGTGGAATACCATAGAGATTTTCAAATATTCTCTAGATGAGGATAAGAATTTTGGAGATTACTTCAGAAGACATGAAGACATCTTTAACATTGACTGTCAAAACTGGACAGAAGCATAAAAGCTACGTCTATTGCTTAGAAAATTAGAACTGAAGAATATACAAAGTTTGTGGATTATATCTTGCCAAAAAAGACGAACGAATTAACTTTTGACGAAGCAGTTATATATCTTAAAGAACTCTTCAGTTCAGAAACATCACTCTTCCACAAGAGGTGGAAATGCCTGAACCTGGTAAAGGGCGATAATGAGGATTATTCCACGTTTGCCGCTATCGTATATAAACATTGCGACGACTTCAAATTAGCGGAATTAACTCCGGACAATTTCAAGTGTCTCATCTTTGTTCAAGGGTTAGTTTCAACAAAAGATAGCGAAATGCGCAAAAGAATGCTTTCAAAATTACAAAATGAACCTGGACTAACACTGCAACAATTATCGGAAGATTGCCAGAAATCGACAAAGAATTGGAGAGACTTGAACAAACTGGGATTCTTTCAAAAATAGAGTTCAGTGAATGGGCAGCACCGGTAGTTTATGTTTAAAAGAAATCAGAAGAAATCCGCGTATGTGCAGATTTTTCGACAGGGCTTAACAAGACTATAAAAGACCATTATTACCCACTACCGAACCCAGAGGAAATTTTTACAAAGCTCAACGGCGGTAAGATATTTTCAAAAATAGATCTAAGTGAGGCTTATCTACAAATCCCAGTACAAGAAGAGAGTACGAAAACCCTTTGCATTAATACGCACAAAGGGTTGTACAAATTCAACAGACTACCATTCGGGGTAAAAGTTGCACCAGCAATTTTTCAGCAAAAGATGGGCACAATGCTCACGGGCCACAATTTCGCGACCGCTTATCTGGATGACATTCTAATTAAGAGCGACAATGTTGAAGAGCACACACCACACATAAAGGAAGTTTTCAGAAGACTTCAGGACTTTGGGTTCAAAGTAAAAGGAGAAAAATATGATTTTTTCCTAAATGAAAAAACACGAACTCCCCCCAAAAGGGAACTAAGGAGGGGCGTGTTAAGGGGTCCACCCCCTTTTTTTTATATAAGTGAACTCGCTCAGTGTGTACTTGTACTGCTGCCGGTGAATAACCGAGAGTGAGAGAGTGAAGTAACCGCTTTGTAGGAGTCATAGTTGCGAGCACGTAGACTCAGAAGGAAGTCATACTTCGATACTGAATTTCCCAGACTCTATATATATTATTATTGCTACTAACCGCATTTCTGGATCTACTAACCGTATTAGACAATTGTATCATTACGTCAATACATTTATTTTCTATATTTCATTCCTGCGTTTGTTATTCATTTGAGACCGGATTTCATCTCGGAATCCACAACAGTAAGTGTTAGGCGGGATGCATAGAAACCGGGTTGAAGCCGGAAGTAGAAGCCGGCATTGGAAAAGGCTGAGACGAATCAAAAGCAGCGAGGAAGCTGTTTAACCCATGTAACCTGCTGTCGAAGATCCGTCGACCTAACATCTTGTGTGACTGTTTAACCTGTTCCATGTTTTACCAGCAAGAAATACAGTGTCAGCATAGGGAGTTGAATGAAGAGGGTTAATTTTGTTGTATCAACACTTGCATAAACCCATTGAAAAATAAACCCAGCAGCCTCCTTCGTTATTTGTTCTGACCTTTGTGCCTCCACCGGCGAAAGTATTCTTGTTCTTTTTCATAACACAGTTCCGCCAACACGATTCAGGGCTTAAGTGCGGACGGAAAGTCGATCTTCACTGCACTGTGATCAAATAAAACACAACGTGGACAGAGCAGATGGAAGAACGAAGCTGTCCACGGATAACCATCATTTCACCGACGCTAATACTGAACAGTGTGGGAGAGACCATGGATCGAGCCGGGCCGGGCCGGGCCGGACGTGATATAAGCGTACTTGACCGAAACGCAGTGTCCTTAATCACACGAATGAAACCAAAGTTGAGAAGAGTAGTAGAAATAAATCAAATATCTCAAAGCAGGCTGACAATGCTTTATTTGAAAAATAAAAAAAAATACAATAATAAAAATCCGAGTGTTCAAATTCAAAAACGTGTGTGGCTCCAGATATGGGAATCACAGCATATGTGTGTGTGAGTGGGTGCATGTGTGTGCGTGTGTGTGCGTGCGTACGCATACGAACAGATACCGAATACAGAATGGATCGCAAGTTAAATACATACTTAGAAACATATTATCTAATTTTCTCATTTTTACAGGTCATGGAATCCGATACGCAGCCAATATTTAGTGGTATGTATATATTTATTTTACCATAAAAAAAAATAATCTAATTCAAGATAAAATACAGCTTTCTCTAATCCTTTTTAACGCTTCCAGCGCATTTATTTATCCAAATGCACTGACGGATATTTTTAAAAAAAGAAATTTATTTCTAATTATTGTGCGAGAACTTCTTCAAGAAATCGCTTCACTTTCCAGATATCTAGAATTGCTTTAAAAAAAAATGTCCTAACCCACTAAAATCTCCTTCTCGGCACATATGATCTAATCATTGTTTCCAAAATGGCGACCAGGCGGGTGGGATTTGAATTAAAATTTTTACTAGTGAAGATAAACACGGCAATTTTGACTTTGAAAATGATGAGCACCACCATATTTGTCTTGAAAAAAAAAAAACCAACAAAGAAACAAAAAAAAAAAGACACCTTGATGATGACTTTGGCCTAATGTCCAAAGTACTCGGAATAAACAATATGTATCAACACAGTAATTTTCTCTCTTCCTTTGAAGCTTGTCCATCAATATGAAAGAATCTAATTAAAAATAAGTAGATAAAACTTCTCTAAATCATTCAAATGAAACATGTCTCAATAAAGACATGCTGGCAGAAATATACACAATATATATATATATATATATATATATATATATATATATATAAAAGAGAAAGGACAGTAAGATTTATAATCCAGTGCTCTTATTAATTCTTTTTATTTAAAAAAAAACAGTGCTCAATACAATTCTACACAGCATAAATATTCCAAAATTCGTTTGAAAATGAAATAGAACTAAGTATTTTAATTTAATTCTATAATTAAATTTGAAGTTTTTAGTTTTGTTTTTTGAAACATGGTTATTCCTGTGTAGCGATAGAACCATATTTTAAATTAGTAAATATATATATATATATATTTTACTAATTTAAATATATATATATATATATATATATATATATATATATATATATATATATATATGAGTATGTGAATTTGTGTGTTTATATATATATATATATACATATATATATATATTATAAATTTGTGGAATTCACTTCCGTTTATTTGTTTCAAAAGTTTAAATGCAACGTCAATCGCCATCTTCTAATGTCTCGGACAACGTTCATCTTTTATCCTTTTCTCACCCCCCCTGTACACACTCTTTCCTGGGTATGACGATAAACTACATCCGCGTCCTGGGTAAGACAATAAACTACATCCAAAAGCAAGGCCTTTGATCAGGAGGTTTTCAGGAGCGTGGAACCACCTCTTAATTACTGGTAGTCCCAGGTTCACCCTGAATGTGGGTGGTAGCACCTGTCAGGGTCCCAGCTATGGGCAAATAGTTAACCATCTAAAATGGGTTAAAATTCTATGAAAATGTAAACATGGGTTTTAATAACAGCAATACAATTTCGTAAAAAATTATTAACCAGCAATGAATTTTTGAAGAAAACATTATTACCAGCAATTAATTTTTGGAAAAAAATGTTATCAGTAATTCTTTTTTAGAAGGAAAAAATATTATCAGCAATACATTTTTTGAAAAAATATTACCAGCAATAAAAATCATGTTGGCATTAAATACCCATTGAGGTTGATATACCGTAAAACAAACCAAACCAAACAATTACTGTCTTTTATTAGTTTATCTAGGAGTTCCGGCAGTTTTTTTTTTGTTTACCATCACCACATTGATATTGGTATATCATAATGTTAGGATTGTATTCACCATTCTACTTATTGCTGAGGCTATTACCCGGAAACTCCCCCTGTTGAGTTAACAAGACGTCATTAAGGATTTTGATCAAAATGATTCGCCCATTGATTTTAAGATAACTGTTAATAAATGTCAAACTTCAGAAGAATATCTGACAACCGAAGAAGTCCTTCTGGATATGAGGAATTGGTTCCAAATTCCGGATATGAGAGGTTATATTTAGATTAAAATAAAAGAACTGAAATTAGGTTTAACATTTATATTCAATGTTTTATAGTAAACAAAATAAGCTAATGGTGCGTGAAATATAACGGAATTGATTTTAAGGAAAAAGAAATAAATTATGTAATGTTAATGAAAATTCATTAAATTAAGTATGTCACATATGCAAGACAAATGATGTAACGAGGATTTTTTAATCTCTGTTGCATGATGATTCTTTCTCTTCTAATGTCATTCTCAACTTTTTCCAAATTTCGTTTTGCTTTTGTTCTTAAAATCTTTTAAACGAAAGACACTTTTTAAATCTGCATGCGTTATTGCAATCGTCATAGCTGAATGCTGGCTTTCCTTCCATAAAACTAATAACCTTTTCAATAGCTTTTTCAATTTCAGTCCAGGTTTCACCAAAATCATGTTTTTTATTTCTTTGTTCATTGTGACAGTGTGAACGCTGGAGAATAGTTTCTTTGGAAGATTTTATATCATACAATGTTGACTTTCCTATGTTGAACACAGCCATTAGTTACAATGAACTTTCACCAGCGTCTAGTCTGTTTAAAATTTTCACTTTTTACGATAACTCCAAAGTTGTTGTTTACCTCATATTCCCATCATCTTTTGCACCAATTCAAGCCATTAGGGTGAAGTAAGCAGAAGCAATTGTCCAAAGTAAATTTCCAGAAAAACAGAAATTTCAAATCAGTTACATATCACGGAAAGTGTTCAAATATACACATCAAAATCATGTCCGGACATGTGGGATTCCGGATATGCGGGATTCCGGATATGCGGGTTTCCGGATAAGAGGGATTCTGGATATGCGGGATCCCGGATATGCGGGATTCTAGATATGTGGGATTCCGGATATGCGGGATTCCGGGTGTAAGGGATTCCGGATGTGAGGGATCCCGGATATGCAGGATCCCGGATATGTGGGATTCCCGATATGTGGGATTCCGGATATAAGGGATTCCGGATATGAGTGATTCCGGATATGAGGGATTTCACTGTAATATATTTTTTTGAATTAATCGATTTATTTAACACCGTTTCTCTCAAGTTTCTAGCGTATTGATTGCATTTTTCTCCACAGGTTGTTCTGGCGATATGGTATTCGTAATGGACGCATCGAGCAGTATCTGGGTGGTCGACTTCACCCGACAACTCGAGTTTGTGGCAAGCCTTGTTGATACTTTCAACATTGGGCCTGGTCCCAGACAAGTCAGCATTGGCGCCATAACGTTCAGTGATCACGCTCACCTTGACTTCGCGTTAGATCGTTTCTACAGTCGTTCAGAACTAAAAGAAACCATTTTAAAGATTCCCTACCGAATGGGAGGAACTAACACTGCAGAGGCGTTGAAATTACTGAAAACCGTTGTGACGCCGTATGTCCGTCTGAAAAGGCGACCCCTGATCGCCGTGGTCATTACAGACGGCTTGTCGTGGGATTCAGCACAAACAAAGAGAGAAGCTGAGGCGCTACACCGTCTTGGTATCAACACGCATGCCATTGGAGTCGGGGATCATTATGACATGGAAGAACTAAAAGCGATTGCCAGCGATCCTGTCCATGGGGTCCATAAAGTGACCAGCTATTCGGCGCTTAACAACATCGCCGATAAATTCAGGGGTCGCCTATGTGAAGGTAAGACTAAATTTAAATGAAACCAAGAAATCATGTTGCTAGAAGTTCACATTTCTCAGAGTTCAAAAGCGTCTACGCGGACGTGTGGGTGATGTATAACGGCTTTCCATAGATGAATTAGGTTCCACCCTATAACGGCT